AAAACCCTTAGCAGGATGCAGCGCACCCTTCATGCGACTCGCCGAATATCTCACGGCGCTTCGCGCTTGGTGATGTGAGAGCCTGGTCCGGTGAGAACCCGGCGTGCTCCATCCCGGCTTTGTAGGGATGCGAGGTCAATGGTCTAACGACTACGGCATGCACGACTATGAGTACATTCCCCCCCCCTCCCCCTCCTGCGTAGCCCCCACTAACCTCCTCCGGCCGGAGATCCGTACGACCTATCTACCAACTCCCCCCTAGGGTCGCCTCCATCATCCTCATCGTCCTCATCGGCTAGATCCAGGTCGAAGTCTAGGTCGGTGTTGATGTCGGACTGCGCCTCCAGCCATGCTTCCGGGTCCATGTCTGCCTCGTCCGTCGCCACCGCTGCTGCTTCTCTTGTGTCCTCTGCCGTCGTCTGTGAAGCGTCGCCGTTTATTCTTTAGTCTTGGATTTGTAACAGCGGGCGTAGTAGAAGATTTTTGGTTGTATTATAGGTCGTTCTCCCGTACACTGGAAAACTGGTCCCCAAACCCTTCCTAAACACTCCAGCTAAAAAGAAAAACTCTTTCGATGGTGACGTATACTTCCTGTAGACCAAGCCGAAAAGGAGGTGTTCCGCGACATCGAAACCATGTGATGCCACGAAGGAGGTTCGGTGTCTTGCGAAAAGGTGTCTCATCTGTTCGAACAAGTTCTTCATGTATTCGAAAGGGCTGTTCATTTATGGCATGCATCTCTCGGTCTTGGCATTGATCCATCTCCTGTCTTGCCTTCGCGACTGATTTCGACACCGATGGTATGTGGATGACAATGGAGGGGCGGCAGTGCAACGGTTCGTCTTGCGCCTAGACAATTCTTGCTCACCACCGTAGCAGCCACCCCTTCGTTACCAAGCAGGTCGTCGAGCTTGTCGAGCTGAAGAAACCCGGGGCTTGCCGGGTCGTCGGATTGGAACTTGCTCCCGCAGCCGGGGCAGCAACCCGTCGGGACGGTAATCTGCCGGCGGTGTCAGACGAAGACCGTGAGACACAAAAGCGTTTCGTCAAACCGCACTCACAAAGTCTTACACATTGACCAGAACAGATGGGACAAACACACAATAACTACCGCTGTAGACTACCTTCGTTTACTCATTTCCCATGAGCCACAAAGCGTTTCGTCGCATCGCACTCACTACGTTTAGACACTGGCCAGACTCGACGGGACGAACACAATCACTGCGGTAGACAAGTTTCAACAATAATGTTTCATGACCCATGAGACCATGAGCGTTTCGTCGGACATCGCACTAACGTACAAGACGGACCGGATAACAAAATGTACGGTTGCCGGTGTCAATCCTACAACCCAGCCCAACGCAAAAACAGGGGACCACAGTGTAGGGTGTTGCGTACGTTATTTCGCTTTCGAAACCTAGCCCCGAAGATTCAGTTGGAGGACCCTACACAAAGGAACAAGGAGAGAAAAAAAAAACAGCAACAGCATGCCATCTTACATGCACGTCTTCATAGACTCGGGGAGCACGGGACCAACAGCACGACATACGCTAAGTCTACATCCTAAAGCCATCCAGTCAATCTCGTGACGATTCGCCCGACAGGATGGGGTGTGCAGCGGGGTACATATTTGTCCTCCTCAGAAAAGAGGAGCCCAAAGACACGAGGAGGAGGTGAGAACTTCCAAAGTTATCGCGCACGTATTCTAACGTGCAATTGCCGCAGCTACTTTCTCACCGTCAGCTTCTCGAGGTCTGCCGCGTCTCGACCGAACCCGAAGTCCTCCGCGCTGGAGGCCATCATCTCCGGAGACAGTCGGAACCTTGACGCTTCCGCGTCCCTGCCACCGGTAACCGTCGGGAGGACAGCGTTGCGATAATGCAAACACGACAGGGGGCGGGGCGTGTGATGCTCCCGGCACGGTGTGCAAGGTGTCTTCCATGTGGAAACCATGGAAGACCCCGATCCCTCCCCGGACCAAGATTGACACGCAGGATAGCCACATTGCGTGGCTGACCACGGGCTGAAAAAGAAATGAAGCCCATTGAAGTTGGAAGACCAAACAATTACATGAGGTAAACCAGCATGCGGGAGGCAGGAATCGATGCCCATGCCATCAAGACGGAAGGGAGGAGGATGTCGACAAAAAATCCACTGCCAACGAAACCGTCGTCGGCGTTCGAAGCCGGACGCGCCACCCCCACCAACGCATGGCGCTGCCTGCTCACCGTATACGAGCGTCCATGTCATCGCCCCCGCCACCATCCTCGTCGTCATAATCGTCATCGTCGTCGAAGTAGTCGTCGTCACCCTCCCCGTCAAGACCGAGCGAATCCCCTTTCCCCAGCTTGAAGGTCACCCACCCATCCCCCCGGTCCACCCCGCCCTTGAGCCCCTCCATGTCGGTGGCGGTAAATTTGCCCGAGGTAGCCCTCTTGACAGCTGCAGTCAACAAAGAAAAAGTCGCACAGCAGAGGTCCCTGTTTATTGCCGGTTGCCGGGATAGTGCCGGTATGTTCGGCGGGCACACACTGAAGGACCAAGTCATTCCGCACTTCGACTATTTATATATATATATAATAATAATATTATATATATAATAATAGTAACGGTGTACGGTATACTGGCGGTCAAAATTCTGGCAACGTACATACCGGCACCGAGCAGGAACCTCTACTGTTTGCTAGCGCAACGGGCTTAGGCAAGCGGAAACGTCTTCCCACAAACCCAGAGAGGAATGATACTGGACCCATGTGGTAGGAACGAACACATGGCATCGATCCGTCGGTTTGTGAATGATGGACACTGGTATTGAAAGTCAGCTAGAGGCAGAGTGCTGAGTCATTGTCGGTAAACGACGTGAGAACACATGGCCGTGATACGTAGCTTGAGAACGTTGGATACTATTTTGGAAAAGCCTACCGAAAAGTTGCAAGACTGTTGAGGTGTCCACTTAGTATGGTGGTTTGTCTAGGAGTTCAGGGTCTCCTACTTCCGCAACCACTCGCGCGCCCCGGTCCCCTCCACTCCGCCAACTGTTTCCAAGAGTCGGGCTCCATGACCATGTGCATGTTGTCCGCAATGAGAAAGGTTAATGCCACCCCCCTCAGAGTAGCCGTCACTCTGGAACTCATATGCATTTCAAACCACCCACCACCGATGATAACGCAGAAGGTACGAAAAATCAACCCTACCATTAACACCACAAAGCGTCGACAGCATTCAATCGTCACCTTGAGCGTAAGTTTCACTGTCTTCGCCGTCAGCGTCGTCTTCGCCGTCCGCCTCGAGATCAACCCCTGCCATGATGTCTTCATCAAGGACGCCGGCAACCCAATCCGACGACTCCCGCATCGCAGGGACCGCGACATCTTCTCCGTTGCTATCCGGCCCTTGTTGAGTTCCAAGCGGGGTCGAGGGGGTACGCGGGTGGTTTCATGTGTGTGGGTCAATACCTCACCAGTTTCGTGACCAATAGACTGACGACGCATCGTTCTCGAGGCACAACACCATTCGCGCGCTCTATGTAGCTGTTCGCATGACTGCCCTCCCCGCCCCCTCCCCCCCCCGCCGTCTCCATGACACTGGCCTCTTTCCATCGATCAACCGGCGAGCGCGGTCGACGCCAAAAAAAAAGGACACAACAACATGCACACTAGACGTAGTTTGGGAAACAACCTTCGGACCGGGAGTTGTGCCGGCCTATTGATATAGCCCTCTGGTTGCTGTCAAACCTCGCTCGTGCTACGCACCTTTGGCTGGATTAGCCCCCAGAGCCAAGAGGTCGTTGACGATGGCTTCTCCGGCCTGGTTAGCGCGTACCTGCCGGGTGAGAAGCAGACGTGTTCACATTACGACCGGGGCGGTTTATAAATGCAGGCAGAGACGACAGGAAGAGATTGAAGAAAAGGGGGGCGAGACTTGTGCGCCCAGGAGGTCTACGTCAACCTCACACGATGGTCTCGGGATTGTCATGGGAAAGTCTCCATAGTAGCGTTAAGGCGCTGCTCTCTGCTTCGTACGCAGAGAGACGGACTTGAGGCGGCCAGCCCAAACGCACGTGCAATGAGGACGCGGTCGAGCGATTCCTTACCCGTGGGCATTTGCATTGTTATTATTTATTGTTCTCCATCAGCACTCACATACACAGCGTTCTTTGCGTGCATTGAGCTGCCCCAAAAACTCACAAGCACAAGTCAAATAAGAGAGAGAGAAACCTCACACGAAAATGCATGTACACAGAGGTTGCCCGGTATTTACCCAATCCCGACGCGCCTCTCACATCGTTTTCTTTGGCGAGCTTCTGCAAGTCCCTGTAGCCCATCTTGAGCAGCTCCGCAGAGTCGAAGCGCCTCCCCCCCTCGGTCGTCGCTGCCGAGATCGCAAGCGTTCGCCTCCTGTCGGCGGAATGCCGAAAAAAAAGAAGAAAAAAAAACACGCACCAAGATGGCCGTGAGTGATACAAAGACTGCGGGTCTATCTAGAACGGGAACAAGTCGTTCTTTGATCGTGTGAACAAAACAAGAGGGTGCGTCACAAACAGCGGTTACCCAAATCTCAGCCCGAGCAGGGAAGTGTGACGCCGGACTCGGTGCTGTTCCACAACGAACCACGAAAGTCCACGGCAATGGCAGCATCATGGGATTGTGCTGACAGCGCTGTGCCATTGTCCTGGTATTGAAGCTCCCCCTACCCCACTCCCTCTCTTGTCCATGAGACAAACATTTCTTTCGGCCAGGGTGGTTTCGCCAAGCAAGACAGGATGCAGCAGAGGGGCGTGCTGGACGAGCAACGTCAGGAGTTCTCGCCTGAAACACGAAAAATAAAAAAAAACTCCTAAAGGCTACAAACCATGCGCGTCGCGTTGCACGTTTCACGCACGCAAACCTCTCGTCCTTGAGCGAGGAGACTAAAACAAACTCCACGAGGCGAAACCACCGAGTGCGTTTCGTGGTGCTGTCATGCAGGCGGACAGACAGACAGGTAGCCTGGCTTTGCACGAGGGGCATGCTCATGTGAGAAAATATGCAATGGGATCGAGAATGCCAGAAAAAATCGAAAAACGTGGTTTTCATCGATCCAAGAAACCGCGGAGAAAGGCTATCGGCTACCGGGCAATCGTGAGCTGCCCCAGGCCGCATCCCTGCATCAGATATGGGTCCTATTAAGCTGTGCTCCGCGACTTGCTATTGCCCGCCGACCGATTGCCTTCTGAACGAACGACAATGAACCCACTCAGACTGACTACAACAACATATTTACTACGTTTCACATCTCATGTCCATGTTGAAGCCTTCGGTGTAAGGTACGCAAAAACAAACAAGGCGTTTGCCTTTTTCCGATTTTGGGTTAACGACTGCTGTAACCCTGACCCTCTTTACGTGCGCCAGTGCATTGCGCAAACATGTCACCAATCCCGGTCGACAGCAGCAGTGGGATGACCGTCGCATACGGACTCCGACAACAACTGGAAAACGCGCCTGGTGCTGCGAGGAAAGCTCAACCGGATCTTCAACCGCACCCCCCCACCCTATCGCCACGAGATTAAGTTGATACGAAAGGATGTAGACTTACAGGAGGGATATGTCGTCGTGATTGTACCGCGAAAAGGTTGCCGTGCTCCGAAGTCCACGAAGATGTGCATGTACTACGATGAGGGGCCTGAACGTTGTCGCCGTAAGCATACGGGATAGTAGACTGGAAAATACTATTGATTGGAGTTCCTACTTGTTTTTCCATGTGTTGGGGCGAGTACTCTTGCAAAAAAAGGCTTAGTAAGGGTTGGCCTAACCCAAACCCTTGCACACATCCAAGGGCGGCAAAGCCGCGTATCGCGGACTGTACGATGGGATTGAGACCCACCGCAAGCTGCCCCATCATACCTGTCACCGACAGCTGGAGGCCACCCCCCTGCCCGTGAGAACGCACCACCAAGAAGGCCTAACCCCCACGGCTGTATCTTCCAGACCTCAGCCGACATCGACACAGCCGTTGACACCCCTCGGTCGTTGGTGCGGCGGCCTCTGCTGCTCGTTCTCCGTCCAACTGCAACTAGCGAGGACCTCCCAGATCCCACCTCACGCTCGCCATGGTTGCGCTTGCTCGCCAGAGAAGAAGATACCCGGGCCGCGAAAGCAGGCAGGACACCTGCTGCTAGAGAGGACGCGCGAGATGACCTGGACGGCGTGTACGCTGCTGCTGCCGCCGCCATCGAGCCTCCGCCGCCGCTCAACAGCGTCACCACGCAGGCGGTGGTGCTATTGCGTGGTTGCCGTGATTGCTGCTGCTTTCTGCTAGCCGCTCTCATTGCAGCCGCAGCGTTGCCCACCGTTCTCTCTTCCCCTCTGAATGGGCGATGCCAGTGCACACTCGCCAGCTGCAGCTCGGTGCACTTGGTTCCTCCGGTGTCCCCTGTCCGTATCACGAACTGCTGTGCTAGCTGCTCTGTGTTGTGCTATGGACTTTGGATAGCATGATCCCACCGCATGAGGTTCCGCAGATGTTCATGGGGGCATGATGAAAGCATCACACGGTGCCCCTTCTTGGTGTCGATGTGGTGTTGTTGTCATTCACCAGTGATTTGTTCGGGGTGGATGTGAAGTACCAGTTATCACTGATGCACATCCACAGCCGTACGACCACAGCCCTGTACCTTGTTTAGCTTGCTTGCTGCGCTATACAAAGAAGGTGGTGTGCGGGAAGGAGAATGCCAGCGTGTGGCCATGCTGGTTGTCCCAAGCAGCCCAAGTATGGTGTTGCCGGCACGAAAAAGCGCGAGTTTTGCTCGGGACACCGGAAGGCCGGCATGGTGGATGTCGTCAACAGGAGTTGCTCCTACGACGGCTGCAGCAAGCAGCCAAATTTTGGTTTCGTTGCCACAAAACGGGCTGAGTATTGTGCTGAACACAAGGAAAGCGGGATGGTGAACGTGAAGACCAAGCCGTGTCGCCACCCGGGTTGCAGCACTAGGCCCTGCTATGGCTTTGCAGGAACGAAAACCGCCGAGTTTTGTTCCGGGCACAGGAAAGACGGAATGGTGGACGTCAGCAGTAAGAGATGCAACCATCATGGTTGCGCCAAGCAACCCCACTATGGTGCGATCACCAACATGAGGACTGAATTTTGTTCGCAACACAAGAAGGATGGCATGGTGGTTGTGAACAGATTGTGCTCCAAGGACGGTTGCAAAACGATACCGATTTTTGGTGTTTTTGGCGGTACCAATGGGGCGAAGTTGTTTTGCTCTGCGCACAAGAAAGACGGAATGGTGGACGTCAAGAACAAGCCGTGCAGCCATCGCAGTTGCAAGGCGCAGGCGGTGCGTGGTGTTGACGGCACGAAGGAGTTCTGCTCGAGACACAACAAGGGTAGGGTGGCGAACGTCGTGAGCAGGAGTTGCGGCCACCCTGGTTGCACCACTCGACCATCGTACGGCATGGCAGGACGCGGTGCTCGAACGTTCTGCTCTAGACATGCGAAGGACAACATGGTCAACCTTAATGATTCCAAGAGCAGGGCGCGCGACGGTGGCAAGGTCAGCGTCGGTCCTCGGCGTCGTGGTCCAGCAGAGGTCGACTGTGGCACTGCGCGCTCTTCTGGTACAGAGGCCGACAATGGCACTGGGCCCCCTTCTGGTGCTGCCGAACAACGAAGAAGCCGATCCCATTCCTCAGGCGATCAGAGGAACGCTTCTTCAAGCTCGAGCAGGAGAGGCAACAAGCGAGCCCGCGCTCCGGCTGGCATTCCCGTGGCTCCCAATACAGCAGTCGACGATCAGAGCACCATCTTGGCGGAAGACGATTCGTTTGTGGGGCTAGAAGACTACGTTGCCGTGAAGACAGAAGTAGTCGTTTCTTCCACGGTGGATCCTGCCGTAGCACTCCTCGCTACAACCGAAGAAGCCGTAGATAAACCCAGCTCCTGCCAGGAAGCTGCTTCACGTCCCGAGCCTTATGCTGCGGTGCCGGAAGTGGGGATCTCGTTCGCATGGAAATAAGTGTTACCGGAGGTGCGTCTACTGTACACTGAACACGTAGGATGTCTCGACCGAGGTCTACGTAGCGTTGGCACGTTTACTGCCATATTTACTGCCATACGGCGAAACCACAGCCTGTCTTACCGTAGTGACGGTATCCCGGGCGGAATAGAAGAGAGTAGAACATGTCATCCATCCTTTGGGGTGCGCATCGTGCGTTGTGTATCGGTATCCTCGAGCTTTGTGTAGGAAGAACGAAAGTTGTTGAAAGCTCTGCACATCCTTTGCTGGAAGCAGCCTGCGGCGAACGATGGGAGTCCACCAAAGATCGAAACACCGACGTACTCGTGCTACTACAAAGGATCGCAATCCTTCCGCAGCTGATTTTTTTTCATTCGCAGACACGCACCCACGACGTTAGTCGTGTGCACGAGGCTGAACCAGCTCCCATGTCATTGCAAGGTTCTGCCGATCAAATTTTGCTAATTTATCACAACGCTGTCGTTACAGGGTCGGAAAACAACGCGGGACGAGGGGAGATCGAAGGGGAGGCTGGACTGCCGGAACAGCATGATTCCGAGAGCATGTCATTTGATGAGGCAGGAGATGCTGCTGGGTCAGACCTGAATCCAACCCCATTGTGGCGACGAGTGAATGTAGGAATGCCGTGCTGGATGGTGTGAGTGTTCCCGCGTGAGTTGGACATCGGCGGCCGGCGTGGCCTTAAGGATGGAAGTGAATTTGGTTAGACGGTATCTTGCAGGTCGGGGATGCGGACTCAAAACAGAACAGCGAGCAATGGGCGCTCTTGGGATGCGTTCAACCCTGAATAGTAGACTCCACGCAGTTTTTCCGGGCAAGGGGAACTTTGCAGCATCCACCAGTGACATGACTTGTATCCTGTACTCTCCATTCAAATGATTCCCAACTGACCAGACCAAGTCGGGGCACACGTTGTGTTTCCGGAACGGGGAGGCTTTCGCAGCGTTCGGTCATGTGTTGTTGCACGTTGCTCTTTGCTTCCTTGTTGTGACGTGTTCCCGTCGCAGAACCTAGCTTGTCTAGAGAGCGTTGTTGTAGTGTAAGTGGAAATGTGGGTGAAAATAATCGCCGACTATTACGTAGGTGAACGGTCAGAGAAGGTTGGGATGGCAGACAACATTCAGACGAAGCCCGCTCTGAAACAATCTTTGCATGGCGGCGTTTTCGCGTTATGAACCCCGCATTTTCCCGATCCCAACAAAACATTCCTCGTTTGGACGCGGTGTGCCTATGCCAAACTGCGTGTACACACAGCAGTGGAGCCCCGATGACATCCCGCGGGAAGAACACTAACCGCGACATCCCGGAATGTGCCGATGCGGGGCCCAGCCCCACGACCGAAAAGTGGGATTTGATCGGTGATGTCGCATGGTGTAGGACATCCCCGCGCACGAAGCGAAAGCCCGATGAAATCATTTTCGAGCAGGTCTTTCTGTGCGATCGCTCCGATCTGTTCGTTCGTTCACGCGGCCACTGTACTTCGTGAAATCTCAACCGCACGGCGACATTGCAACGATTCGCCCAGTTCAAGCCCACGTTGGATCATACGTGTGGACCTTTGCAACCCATCCATGTGTGAATTTCGATACAAATCTTTTGGGATGCAGAAGAATACGGCTGTGCTTGATCCACCCGGCGGCCACCAAGGAACCTCTTCAGACGCCATGAATGGCGAAAAAGTCAAATGGTACTTCAAAAATCTGTGACGATCAACGCTGAAGCTAGCACAGCACAACAATAACACCGAGACCAGGGGCACGGCGTGTTGTGCAGCCGTCGTCGGTCGGCTCCTCCGTCGTGGTTGTGCAAACAACGACGACGGCTGCAGATGCTTTCTACCCATGCCCACTGGTGCGAAACTCTCCGACTTCAGGCCATATTGGGTATCGCGCCGACAGGTTGGGTGAAACGTAAGATGTGTCCGACTCGATTTCAAGGGCTGGCTGGCAGCCAAGGACGTCAGGACTCGCTTTTGGAACGTCCCGCACAACGATCAGCATGACACAAGGGAGTCGGCAGGCGTGGAATTGTTTGGTCAAGTTGCGTGCGAAAAGAAAAATACAAAACCAACAAACCCAGGCCATTCCAGCCCGTTCTTTACGGGCATGTGCCGAGTTGACGCCATTCCCTCGAGATCGATCGAGATCTTCCCCCTTGTTGCTTTCCCTCTCCATCACATGTATCCTACTGCACATCGTTTTTTGATGGCACTACTCAAAAGCCGTCTTGCGGTAGTTGGTCTGGACGGGCTTTTGGCGTGGGCTAGGCTGGAGCGGCGGAACATATGCCGTCTTTTCAACAACCCTACTGCTGGCCGGTTGAACCAACATCATCATGGTGACATTCGTCAAGTATAAACAGGATTACCATTCTCTCGGATACTTCCACCTCCCCCCGCTGAACGGAGCGACTAACAGGCCCGTGCTCTAGCACGCTCCTTGCCCTGGCTTTGGGGGCTTACATCTCGGAGAATGAGCCCCCTCTCCCTGTTGTGTACACGCATGCAAAGATGGCAGTCGTTTGCGTACTTGAAGCAAATAGAGTCGTGTCTCCCGGATGTGAAGCGTTCGATTAGCAGGAATGCCGAATAAACCATAGACATATCTGGTTCATGGCGTAGCGAACGCAAAGAAAACAGCCAGCTTCTGGATTATCTTTGTTAAAGCTAGCCTGGGTCGGTGAAAACCAGACTAATCGCTCAGTCTCAACATCGCAGGTATGCGAGGAGAATGAGCTCACGACTGTGGCAATGCGTTTACATGAGTTTGGCCCCTCCCATATACTTCAAAAAAACACATCAGCAGCAGCAGCTGCTGTGTGTAACAAGTGCGAAGCTCGAAAAAAAAACGGTCCTAAACCGTATGATTCGCACAACCACCGGTCTCTTGTCATGTTTCCAACTTGGTCGCCTTTCGGCAATACCCTCGAAGCAGCGATGAAACAGTTGAAGCCCAGCATTGCTGCCAAAAACGGTAAGGAATCCCATGCGCCAACCCCAACCCCTTCCCCGCGGCCACAACTTCATGTATGGAAACCTTTCTCTAGCCCTGATGGTCGATCATCTACGCTCCATCCAGGGACAGCCCACGACGGTACCGATGAGGTCGACAAAACCTTCTCTGGTATGCGGAAAACGAAGGTTTCTCCACCACCACTTTGAAAATGGATCTCGTCAGACGGGGACGTTTCGGGATATAGGTGGGGCCAAGTGAGTGATGTTTTCCTGTCGAACGGCAGCCGACAACGTGTACACGCGCTCCTGCCGCTGAACTCACACGGTGGTGCAACCTGGGAAAAACTCACAAAAATATGTACAACAAGAAGCCTGGCGCAACTTAAGTAAAAGAGCATCGTCGCCCAACCTAACGAGCACAAAAGCTGTTCCGTGCGAAACATTCACGCGAAATGGCTACCCTCTGCAGACAACGGAACTTTGGCGTTATACTTCGCAGCACGAAAGACGCTGCACTTCGTTCTAATATATTTCCCTCCATTTCTGCCGCAAACACACTATGACTATGCTGCAAACCCTTGCTAGCCCTTGCCGTTGCTCATCTTGGCCGCGCAGGGGGAAAGCTTGAGGGCAATGATAAGGCCGATTCCGAGCAATGGTCCCGGTACGAGAAACACCGTCGTCCATCCCCACGAGGTCGCCTCCTGGCAAAACGGAAAAATACCCGCCCGAACATTCTTTAGGTTTGATTCGCAACAAATCATCGCTCGAGTGGCCGAATGTTCATAGACGATTAGTCTTTAGACCATCTGTCAAGAATTGTGAACATTGGCAGGAGAGCGGAGGCACAGCACAAAATGGCTGACGCATGCATCCCTATGAGCACTTGCAATCGAAGGGCTCGACTCTCGCTCCTATGTGTACACGGTGGCGCATGACCATATTTGGCAGGCTTACTCGATTTCAGTTCCATGGCATTACACTGAGGGGTACATCGACTCCTCATCAACAAGCGCGCTGCTTATTCCGAAGTCGCAGCAATGCACCGTGCGTGAGTCCGGGCGCATGCAATGAGATAGGTTGCCTAAAGTTGTTCCGAAACTATCCGCTCGCCTCAACCAGCGAGATGGCAAACATATCGGCAGTGACACCAGTGGCGAACCACCCGCGGGTTTCTCGCTGTAGTGTCTGATGTGACCAACTCTTGGATTTTTCCCAATATGCTAGACGCGGGACTGGTCCGGGTCCTTTCGGCTTCGTGTTGTCTCACCCATATTTGATGCCTGGTCGGTGGGAACCCGGCACGGAACCCTCCGGCGTTGTAGGCGGGTGTGGGAAGCGTTCCCCGTTCTCCTTTTATTTTATTTTGATCGGTCTCCTCGACGCTCTTTCTCGTTTGGTGCGGTAGCTGGTCTTTCTTTCTATCATTTTGTTTCTCTTCCGAGTGGTTTTTGTACCCTATTTTTTTCTGTTTCTTCGTGGGGTCGTGTATGCCGGGTTTTGAGACCACGGGCTCCCAATCTTTATTTTTTTTTTAGAGCTAATGTGAGAAACAACAACAACAACAACCCATATGGCCAGGGAAGCAAACTCTTTCTTTGCCTTCGATAGTTCTGTACAAAACAGGAGATACTCGAGAGAGGTCAGACTAGTTCTTGCTCAAATGTGAAAACAACAACGGCGCCCGCCTCGGTTTGCAGCTCGAAGATAGCGACAGCCACTGAAGCTCAATTAAAATCAGATCGACGCCGAAAACTCATGTGAGCTGCAAGTCTTCACTCGAACAATTTACCATCTTACCCGGGGACTGTGCGTTGCCAACGACTTTCTAGCATTGGTGGCTTCAATCAGGGATTCCTACATTACCGGGCATCACCAACCCTTCGTTCATGGTTACACATTGTTGCAACCTGAGCTTTCAACCTTGAGCTCTAACGGGGTGGCACCGAATCAGTCTATCCCAAACATTCATATGCCCAAAAGGTGTGTGCTCGGCACCCACGAAGGCGGAAATGCTGGTTAGCTCACCTCCACCAGGGGGATGGCAAAGATGCCGACAACAGTGACGGTGAACCCGAGCGCCATTTGCAGCGTGAGAGCCGTACCGACAGTGTCCTGGTCCGACAGCTCGGTGGCCATGGCACTAAACTGGGCCGACTCCTGCGATGTGGTGTGGCGCGTGCGCCCACGAAGAGCGGGCGGGCAACCATTTTACGCGTTGCAGCTTACGGGGGTCCTGCACATGGGTTCGTTCGGCCGCGCGGCTAACTTTCTCCCCGTTAATTCCAAGACAAGTACAGAAGAAACACGTGCCAGGCGTTTTCGGCTGGCAGAGTCGAAGGTTCCACGGGGATGACACTACAAACAATCTTATGGCTCATCTGAAATGGGACGACACACGCACACACACTCATTGGTCAGCCCGGTAGGGCGTTCGATACAACAAACACACACCCATATCTGTTGTGGGTGAAGCTATTTACCCCTCGGGGTGAAAAGAACCTCAACAAAGGTATGCCTATGACGTTTGTATCTGTACGCCCGTCATCGGTTGCAACGGTCGCGCGCATGCCGCACAACGCTCGCTTTCGACATGCGCACAACGCACCCATTCAAGTGGCAAACCACAAGGAAAGCGCACCACCAAAAAAAGTAGAGCTTACCGCCACAGCGGCCGAGCCCCACAGCAAAGCAAGGGGGATCAGCAAACTCTGGGGAGCTCCGGCCCCGGACAACGGTCCGTAAGCGGCGGCGCACGATCCCGAGACAGCCAAGGCAGTGATAGATGCGCTACACCGACCGATTTTGGCGTCCGCTGCGGCAGGGACGTTTGTGGCGGAGCGTGTGTTGAAAAGGGCGGGGTATTCTCCTGTTAGTTTTGGGGGTTGACACGTTAAATTTCGTGCATTTTCCCACGGGCCAGTGTTCTGCACGTCCCTTGCGCGATCTTGAACCAGGTACACCTGCCTCGTACTTATTGGCGTATTTTTGCAACTCTCCTGATGTACAGTTCCCATCACGATTTTGTAGGTTGGTGAAATTGAATTTGCTTTTGTCGACCAGGGCGGCGCGGTCTCGGAGCGTTCGCTCGCTGCTCGCAACCTGGAGGGGAGATCAACATACGACGGCGACCATGATGGCGATGGCGTAGCCGGCAACAACTAGACTTTTAATGGTGCGGGGTACAGATCGTGCGAACCAGCCGCGAGTAGTCCTACACCAACAAAGGCGCCCCCTATTTCTCATCCGATTTATCGCGTGTACGAATGCGAGCAAGACAAAGATCAAGGAGCAGCAGATACCCCACAAGCAGTGCAGGACGTGGCAAAATAGACCGAAACCAGCGGAAGAAGAAGCCTCACGCACCCAAGCGACAAAAAATTCGCGGCCGGCGGCCGATGGAGTTCTCACCTATCCAGCCGATGAAGAGGCAACCGATGCCGCCGATGCCGACGACCCCGAACGTGACCAGGCTCGCCAGACGCTTCCTCGAAAGGTCGCCCGTACCCCCGCCCAGGCCTTCCCCTTCTTGCACCTCCAGGTAGTCCGTGTAGAGAGACAGGAACCAGGTCCAGAGGCCGTACAGCTCCCACATGTGCCTGTTTATACAACATGGCGAAAAACAAGTTAGCATTTTGGTCTTTGCTTTGTGTTCGCGCGGTTATTGCCTCATGTAGGCGAGAAATATCCGAACCCCTAGAAAGGACCTAGGTCTTGACGCGGTCGAGACGTTTTAAGTTGCTACTTCTTGCAGTTTTCCATTCTATCCACGTGAGTGGACAGTCACCGGAACTGTATGTAGTGTTTGTCGTGGTACCAAGTGACTTGTTTCCAGTGGTGCAGGTCTTGAACAAGAATATCGGTCTACAGGGAGGGGCGAGGAGAACGCAAGCACAAAAAAAAATGGTTGAGTCCCGCAACAGACCGGCTGTTCATTGGCCAGCAGACTAGGGCGGTCGGTGCTAACTCTCTGCCGAGCCATCTGCAGCCACGCTGTCCTATTTACTTGGAGCACCGTTCGCACTGCGCACGTCAAGAAAAAGGAGCGAGAACGCGCAACAAGTTCACTCACGCGCAGTATGCCAAGGTGGCGAGCACGACCCCGCGATTTCGAGCTAGCCGCGGAATGGTCTGCAGGCTGAACTTGGCCTTCGAAAAAGGAAACGGCCCTGAGTGCAATAGGAGCGGTGAATGACGTGCGGGGGGACATGGGGTTGAAAAGGCGTGTTCTGTCACGTTGGAGCATTTCTGATTGTAGGGTGAGAATCAGACGGATCTTAAACGAAGAAATCGGGTACGCTCTGCCCCCAGAAAAACGCTGGTTCTCCTCCGGCAAGAATAAATAAACAACGTCTCGAACACGCACCGCCGGGTGGGTGGACACATAACACCTTCATGGCTACTGCACCAGTACAACCATACGTCAACCCTATTTGTAGAGCAGGCTGCATTACCTGTTGGTACGAAAGCGAGAACCATGACTCCCGATATCAGCGCCAGTATCGAAGTCGAGTACTGTTTTATGTTGTGGTGGGGTTCGGTAGCAGGTGGGGAGAGGCGGAAGGAGTGTGTGGGTGATGGGAATGGCCGGGAGGCGGCGTTGAACGAGGCAAGTGAGAGCTGCGGAACGTCGAAACTCGCAAAGGAGGACACGCGTTTGCAAGCCATCGCTGGGATGGATCCAAGCGGGTCCAAGGGGGCACGGGAACGAGAACACCATAGTAGGGCGGTAGTTGGGATAGAGCGAGTTGTGTGAGGAACTGTTTTCTGAAAGCGCACGAACCTATCTAGCTGCCTGTTGTACATGTCGTGTGGTATCTTATATCACGAGATATGCGGTACACGCCACTGTTCCACATTACGGGGTGCGGAGCACCCTGCTGAGATCACCCTGCTGATGCGATGACAAAAGCACGAAACGCAACATCCCGAAATTCGTCCAAACGAAACAGATATCGGGTGACAAGTTCTGTGTTAGCTCAAGACAGTTTTCGTCGATGAATAGCGAGAAGGCGTCGTGTCTCTTCCTTTGCCTTTCTGTCTCTCTCTGTCTCTTTCTCTCGACGGAACTGTTATACACTCAACACGAGTGCTATACGACCCCCCCCCCCTACCTTTATCTCACCGTAACAATGCGCCAGCGATCGCCGACACCTCCCGCGCCGACTATCAGATGGGGGAGCGCAGACCCAAGCGACAAGCCCCCTATGATGGTGCCCAGAGCAACGCCTCTGCCGTTCTTGAACCACGTAGATATCAACTGATTCGTGCCGACACAGCGTGTTTTCGGAAGAGCGAGAAAGGGAAGCACGAATGAGAAGGTTTTCGTTGTAACGTGGCGAACGTGGGCGTGTTTCGCAAGTTTTGCCGCAGAAGTGCGCCCGACAGAAAGGGCGCATCCCATCCACCGGTAGCAGCAGCGCCGAACTCGCGGGGTTTTGAGCGAGATCGCAAGGGCGAACAGTCACTCGACAGAAACAGAGGTGATCCCAGAAAGGCAGAAAAGGTGACCGCCGAAAGCTTCACACCTCGGAAACGACAGAACACAAGCAGATCTCGGCGCTTTGCCTTTTTGTAGGAGAGAATCAGCGTGGGAGTGTTCCTGCCCCACACGCTGGAGTTTCTGCGCACAGGCGACGTAGTGCTGGGGATTTACAAGCCCCGGGCGAATGCGCGGGGAAAATGTTTTGGCCCGTTTCGTTCCAAGAGAAAGGCGCGACCCCACCACGGCACTTCAACGCTTTTCAACTTCGGGTTGTTCGGGCTTTAGTTGACTTTTTGCCCTGCGCAGCAGCGGCCGTCTCAGCGCACCTTGAGAGACGGAGGGTACACCAAGGACAGCGACGCGCCCGTCAGGAACCGAAGAATGATCGCCATACTACTCGTGCACGCGTCGTTGTTCGTTTCAAGCGGACGGAACAAGATGCGCGAGTTAGACACAAGGAGTGTAAAAGGAGGGCGCGGTAAGGGGCGGAGAGATATACCGACGGGGGGAGGGAAGGACAGGAAGAGTTGCAGACAAGGAGAATGACACAAAATTACCGAATCTACTAACCCTTGTCTTACATACGTACGTGTGCCCTCACAAAATATCACCCACAGCCGTGCAGCGTGGGCATCGACGCACAAGAGACGACCTCTCTCCCCAGGGTTACCCCCCCAAGAAGAAATCGCAGCTATAAGCAAATGGCTCCACAAACGGATGGCCAAAACAGAAACTTACGGGAAATTGACAGGAGCCGCCACCAAAGCGTTCCAGCCTGCGGCCCCCACGCACCCCGCGAAGTACAACACCTGCGGTCTAACCAGGTCTGCCATGTTGAGGACGGCCTGCAGCACGGCGCCGACCACGAAACCTAAAGGGAGTTCGTTCCGATGGTCAGGCGGGCGAGAGCAGGCGGGGTTTACGCTCACCACATGGATGCGAGCTGCGGCGAGAAAGTAGAGCAGATACTAACGAAAAATGTATGGGGGCGTCTCGACGGGCCGCGGGTTGAGGATTAACCTTAACAGAATGAAGGCATTCACCCTGTAGGAAAGCGGTCAAGTGCAGCTGTTGGAAAATCGAGTGGGGTTTTCATCGCCGGGTTCACGTCGGGTGTGAGGGTGGCGTTCGCGACGAAAGAGAAAACAGCAAAAGAAACATCAAGATGAAATTTAGAACAGTCGATACTGGTAAACCAAGAATGGATTCGTATAGGAGGGTCACGAGCGGGCAAATGTGCATGTGCCATCATGGTTGCAACAAACACAACGCAAATGTCGCACTTGCCCGTGAATCAAGGCACTGGAGCAACTGACGAATAGCTTATCCGGATTCTGCCGTGCCCATACCAAGCTCAACAGAGACAACTTGGGGTCGTGTCATGTTTTGGATGCATGACTTTGCCTTCTTTGCGTCCCTTCAGTGTTGTGCAGTTGCGACGTGACCAAATTCAAACCAATGTAGTCGTGTGGGTGGCTGGCACCCTACTACTTTCCAATTGCTCTACCTGTATTGTGGTTTGGCAGTGATAGGTGACTCGCTCAAACACAACACTTCGAAAGCGGCAGCGTTTCCCCATGCATTCATTCGATGAGCAATAGGCTACGTAGTGTACCCCAAAGGGAGGCGTTTGCGTCATGTAGCTCTTCGTGTTCCGCAAAAAACGGCACGAACAATAAAGTTGTTATCTCGCCGTCTTTTCTCTTGCTCCTCATTACGAGTGTACAGCTCCACAAGAGCAAAGGCGCAACGCGGACTCGCGCGTCCCTCAACTATGCCACAAGCGCCAGTCAATCACTGCGGATGATGATGGAAACCTACCGATGTTGACGGAGCTTGTCAGCAGGCCCGAGGCTGTGTCTCCGATGCCCCAGCGTTCCTTAAGCTGGGTACTGATTGGGCCGCAACATCCACGTTATCGCACGCCACGTAGGGGGGGCAACAGAGAAGCGTGAGAAGTGCTCGACTTCGCACACACAAAGAAAACGAAGGCACAGATTTTTCCCTCTCGAGATAGACGAAAAACAGAGAGGGAGTCGAGCACATCAAGCGTTCCAAATCAAGCAGCCGACAGAAAATCGCCGAATAAAGGAGGGCCGGGTGAAGCAACCGATGCATAGCCTGAGGCGAAAATAATTGGTTTGCTGCCTGAACAGTAGGTACACGAAGGGGAGGTACTGCATGGAGGCCAAAAGCACGGTTTCCTACGCCAAGAGAACAGCAACAATGCATCGCGGGGGCGGCCGTGTGGCGGCAACATCGCGCTGAAGGACCGACTCTCATTGGGGTGTCAAGCGCAAGAGTTAAGACCTGATAAAATTTCGTTTCAACCCCCCCGGGAAAAACCTACACGGGGCTATGCATGTTGCACATCCAAGTGGAGACCTGAGAGCTGCTCCGTTTCAACCCTGTGGAGGAACCGAGACAGGGCCATGCATGCACATTGCGCGCCTCTGCAGACACTAACGGGTGGTAGATCTTCGGAGGAAGGCCATAGGGTGACAAAAGCTGCGACGCTCGTTCTGAAATGAACGGAATGAGCTGGAGGGTGCGAAACGCTTGGTATGATCACCTGACCGCCGTCGCGCTGAACCACGTCGCCAGGCCCAGCACCACCGCGGACGCGTGTATCGCGAGCACCCGATACCTGCCGGGAGGGTCGGCATTCGATCTGTCCGTCGATCTGCCCGTTCCTGCATTGCACAATACGACAGTGGCAGACGGTTACGCTGGAAGAGGCATGACAAAATTCACAAGAAGACGGATGTCCCACCATCTGCGTAAAAGACTGTCGGGATGGGGGCCGGGAATGAAGATTTTCCCCTCAATCGGGCGCCAGCAAAAGACGCACTGGCGCCAGGAAGGGGTTGATGATGTAGCCTGTCTCGTCTGCTCACCGCGGGAACGCCTGGTTGTTCAAAGCTTTGGGCCTGACCTACACGAGGCCCCGTGTTGGCAGAAGACACAGTGTGGAGCTCCATACATATATCATGCTCGGATAGTTGTCGGGCAATCGTTCGACCCGTAAAACTTTAATCCCCGCACCTACACGGAGTCCATTGGCTCAAGTATCTGCGCTGGAGAATGAAGCCGTACGAAGACAAAAGGCCATCAAATCGTTCTGCATGCATTCCCTTGTCCGAAACGCCCCGGTCAACATAAACGCTGTCTTACCCCCCGCCTCCTAGGGATCCGCCAACGCACATTTTTCAACAGGGGACGCACGTGGTCGGGTGGCAGCAACCAACTCAATCCTGTTACTCCTAGAGTATTTACAACGAAGCGAAGCGAAAAGGCCAAGTCGGTGTTGGGTGTGCAACCATGCAGGTAGCGCCCTCTAGTATAGGCCGAGGCTGGGGTTCGTAAGTCCGGGCGCTGACCGTAGCATACCCCACCCGACAGCCGGCCCTACCTCCTCCCGTACGCCACACAGGCCCCAACCAGAGGGAGGCCAGGTAAGGCTTGAGCACGGTGCAAAGAGCGGACCTAGCACCGAAGCAACGAGAAAGGATAAAAAAAACACACGCGCAAAGTGCACCTTCGGATAGGTCGTGGTAGATGTCGAGAGCAGCGAAAGTAGTGGAACCCCTTGCGGAGGCCGAGCTCGCCGCAGTGTTGCCGCGACCACGGCGCAATTCGTGCTCCGGTTTCGCTCCGTCCTCGGCAGGGGTGCCGAATTCCTCATCCCAAGGCCTAGTCCGACGTGCCGCCCTCTGGTCCGCGATGTTGATGCCGTGCGATGCTGGTGACGCCGCAGCGTCGTCCTTGCGCCCCTTGATCTCCCCCATCTATAAAATTTCGTCCGCCGGGCGGGCGGAGTGGTTCCGTGGACGAACCTGTCGCTCTCACATCGGCCGTGCGGCACAAAGTCCGAATGATATGTCCCTGGTTCAGGGATGACATATACAGCACATGCAGGTTGTGGTACCGTAAAGATGCGAGTCACCGCACGGTCCCGAGTCATCGTACAGGGGTGCGACGCAAATTTAATGGCTCAATGATCAATTTCGATTTCCGCACATGGTCCGGAGTCACCGCACAGGGGTGCGATGACTAGCAAACTACCGTATGTAGTTGAGTGCCAGAGATTCCGGGGCAACTTTCACCCCTGCAACCATGCCAGTGCTGGCATGATAACTCTGCTGTTTGGGTAGGTCATCGCCGCACACCACACGTGGAGGTATGAAGGAAATGAAACACATTCGTAATTCCAAGTTGTGAATTCCGTTGGATGGATCGGCAGTTCAACTTGAGCACTGTCCATTCAACCAAAGCTACCGCGTCCGCCGAGGAAGGGTCGACACCACTAGCCCCTGAGATTGCGGTATCCACCGTACTTGAAATCTCCGTCATGATTGGATTTAGTATTTCGCCGCGTTATATTTCGCAGCATTTAATTCGCGTGTGCACATTGTTGTTGTTGTTGTTGTTGTTGTTGTTGTTTCTCACATTAGCTCTATAGTCCACCAAAAATGGGGAGCCCGTGGTCTCAAAACCCGCAACATACGACGCGCCGGGGAAACAAAACAAAATTAGGGTACAAACCACTCGGAAAAAGAAAACAAAAGATGGGAAGAAAAGAACAGGTACCGCACCGACCGTTCGAGAAACGAGCCCTCGGAAACCGATCAAAATAAAACAAAAACAAAAATAAAAGAGGATGCTTCCCACACCCGCCCAAAGAAAAAAACAAAGAGTAACGTACCAGCACCNCAACATACGACGCGCCGGGGAAACAAAACAAAATTAGGGTACAAACCACTCGGAAAAAGAAAACAAAAGATGGGAAGAAAAGAACAGGTACCGCACCGACCGTTCGAGAAACGAGCCCTCGGAAACCGATCAAAATAAAACAAAAACAAAAATAAAAGAGGATGCTTCCCACACCCGCCCAAAGAAAAAAACAAAGAGTAACGTACCAGCACCAGGCACTACGCACCAGGGCATGGGAGTAATGGAGCAAACAGGACAAAGAGGCGGCAGATGGGCAGACAGCCAGATGTGCAAAAGACAAAAGCAACAGCAAAAGCGAGATCAAGGTACCCAACACAGCAGAGTAGGCACGGAGGACATGAAAAAAAAGAAACACAGCACAGAGGCCGAAGGCAGTACAAAGGACAAACACAAAGGAGAATAGCATACAGCAGGGAGGGAAACAGGGCGCAACAACATCAGCCGGGTAGTTCGCCACAAGTGCTGCCTCGGCAGCCCTACTCGCTTCTACAGCAGTGCCCGGTCGCCGCTTCTTACCCCCCACCGCCGCTTCCCCGACCCTCTTTCTCTTCGGTCCTGACATGGCCGTACTCTCTGCTTCTTCTTCCCTCGCGCGCTGGCGCTTGGCGGACGCTTTCGCCTCCTGCCTGTGCCATTTCCTCATGAGCCATGCCGCCCCGTCCTCGACCTTGTTGTACCACACCTCCGGGTCCTTGGCGCTTTCTTTCCATTTACCCCCCTTCCTTTTCGTCTTCCATGTTGAAGGCCACGAGGTCCTCTCCTAGACGAGACACCCAGTCGCTCTCCTGCCCGCCCCGGTATCCCACGCCCCGCGCCATCGCTCGTAACAGCTTGCGCTTGGGGAGGCGGCTGTCCTCCATGCACATAACAAAGCCCGCGAAACACAGTCTCCGTTTGCGCACGGTGGCCTCGATGGTTTCCTCGCAGCCTGCCTGGATGAGGGCCTGGGCATAGGACAGGTGGCGGTCTGAGCGTTTCCGCTTGCTCCAGCCAGTGCACCGTGTAAGGAACTGGCGGTGGGTCCCATTCAGCTTGGTGTAGTGCTCCGCTGCCAGGC